GCAGGCACGGCCAGGGTCCCCACCACCCTCTCCCCACAACACAGGCAGAGGTGATGGGACAGTTTTATTTGTCTCTCTGTTTTACAGAACCTGGTTTCTCTTTGGTCCTGCCAAGGACATGGACACCGCTTGCACTGACAAGGAAGGGGCTGGCTGCGGAGGTGAGCTGAACACTCGCTGTGCCAACCGCTCTGACCCCAACAGATTTACCTCTCCCACAGGCTGTACGGAGAAATCCATGGTTCTTTGTTAAGGAACAAATTTCCTATTCAGTAAGCTCAGCTCCAAAAGCAACTCCAGATGCCACTGACATTCTAAAAATAGGAAACATTCACTTGCGGGATATTTTGCAAATCTACAGTAGTAAAACAGGCACAAATACTACCTGCACAGAGCAAAGACAAGAAGGGGAGTCTTCCCCTTCTCTTGAAGCACACACACTTAACACTAGTACACCTCTGTTCCCTGCATGGGCTTTTGGAAGTGGTTTCTGCTTAAGCATCTGAGGGTCGTGCCTGGTGAGTTATTTGCCACATGAACTAGGTTTGAAAGAGAAAGTGGGACGTGAACATGCCATGTCTGCTTTTACTTCTCCTCCTCCTCTGGAAATCACAGAGATTCCCTTTTACTTCATTAGTCCCACTCAGGTTACCCCCCTACAGAACCTGTCAGCTATGGGAAATGGGTGCTCTAGGCATTCGTCTGCTGAGATGCAGCCTGTGACCACTAACAGCTCTCCTCGGAGGGCTTCTTGGTGCCTTGAAGTATCAGTGCTGAAGCAGATGCCCTCTTCTGATGCCGCCACTTGGCCCGCCGATTTTTAAACCAAACCTAGAAAGTGCAAACCAAGAAAACAACTTCTGCATTTCATGTGTACTTGGATGGGGGGAGGCAGTACACTCCTGGACCGTACAGTATAAGCTTTACAATACTGTAATACATTTCCTGATGTAAAAGTTTGATACAAAAGTTAATCAGGCCCTCCCCTGCAATCCTGCTCAGACACATGTAAGGGGCACAATGGAGCTGGGACCCCCCCATGGGAAGTTCAGAGGTCACATAAATGAGGAATATACACTTGGATACAGGGAATGAGCAGAACTGGGCATGTCTCTGTGTGTTTATATATATATATGATTGTAGGAGAGAGGGAGTGAGTGAGTTTATGGGACCAGATACCAGAACAAATCAGCCCAGCAGAACTGTTTTATATTCTTCCATTACTTGCCAAACCTAACCTGTGTTTTGTCAAATACCCAAGAATGGCTTTTAAAATGAGGCCCTGGGTCTGCAGCTCCCAAAAAAGACAGTGCAATGCCCCTGTGTTCTTGGAGGGATGCAGCAAATGGCACCTGACCAAGTTGCAGGATCTCACCTCTACCCTCTCCTCCTTCAAGTGAATGCGGTTTGCCAGGTGCTCACGGGTGATGACGTCTGGGTACTGATTCTGATGGAAAAGCGTCTCCAAGGCCTGCAGCTGGTCCTCAGTGAAAATGGTGCGATGCCGGCGTGTCCGGCGCTGAATCTGGTGGAAAGTCTGTAGCTCACTTGGATTCCCCTGGGGACTGTTACAGACCCTGACTGCCGAGTGGAGGAGCTGCATGTGCCAGGGGAAGCGGGTGTCTGCAAGGGAAGAGGTACAGTGGCAGTGTTAGGTGTGGTGGGCTGAAACACCCATCTTGCTCCAGGCAGTTCAGGCACAAGTTGCACCCACGCATGTTGTTTGGAAGGAGGCAGCCGACCAGCTGGCACGGGTGATGAGCTGCATGATCACCATGTAAGCAAGAGAAGGGCTCAGGGCATCCCTTTGGGAGAGGCATGCAGGTGGGGAGCACTGGCTGGGTTTTCCTTGTTTATTTACAATTGCACTATGGCCACCTCCAGAAAATAGCTGGAAACTCACAGCCCGGCAAGGAGCTATGTTTCAGTCCTGACATGGGAGAATTCTGAACTTTCAAGATGCTCTTAAACTGCATTTTTAAGGATTTGCTGCTTTTTTTTTTTTTTTTTTTTTTTTTGCTAGATGTAGCGAAAAACTTTTTCTTAACGGACAAGTGAGGTTCCCCAGGGTCATTGTTGTCAGGAAGCACAGACACAGCTCTGTGCATGGGCAGCATGACCATAGGACCCCGCGCTCCACAGAGAACTTCCACCCCCAGAAACATTATCCTCTCAAGTGTTTTACACTAAACCAGTAATACCCAGTAACAAATAGCACCTGCTGTTTTTAAAACACTGGTTGCATTGCAGGTAAAAGTGCCTGGTCTTGGAAGCCATGCTGAGAGCAGAGCTCAGCTCGCTGGAGCTGGGGTCTGAGACCACCGTGATGGCAGGCCAGACGCTGTATTGTCACTCGAGGCCAAGGTTTTCCCCTCCACCCGGTGGTGGCACCAGCCCCTCCACAAGCCCTACGCCATGGATCAAACCCAAACACTCACCCAGCCAACTCGGCGAGTCCTGCAGGGAACGGACACTCGTGTGAGAACAGCAGCAGCAGTTGCAACCTGCCCCTTCCAGCTCTTCCTCCTCCTCCTCCTCCTCCTCCTCCTCCTCCTCCTGCAGAGAGCTGGCTGGGATGGTCTCCAGCTCACACAGCCCCTTGGGTGCGCAGTCCAAGATGCTCCGGAGGCACAGCGGGACCAGGACCTGGGGCCTCTTCTCTGCTGGGCTGGAGAGGATGTCCTCGATGCTGAATGAATACGGCTTCTTGAAGCCTTTCCTGCTGGCGTCAGTATCCGACACTGGCTCCGAAGACATCCTCTGCCAGCAGCAGTGGCTGCGGGAATGGGCAGCTCAGGCTGAGTGCCGTTTGTTCTCCGTGTGCTAACTCTGGAGTGGGGTCTCGCAAGGAAAAAGACAGCTTACGTAGCTTTTAAAATGGACTGGTGAAGCCATCCAGAATTGCTGCTTTGTCTTGGCATTTCAAATGACTGTCATTCTCGCAGCTGAGTTTTTATTTTATACACACATGCACTTTTTCTCCTTCTAACCTAACTGCTTTATGACTGAAGCCACCCTAAATATATATATATAGAGAGATATAATCCCTTCAGAAAGAAAACCATAAACCCCCCTGTGAATAAAATAAATTCTAACTAATCTTGGCAGCTTTGTGAAGGGTTAGTGTGGATCTAAGATTTAGTTAATCCCACAAAAATGACTGGAGAAGGAAATCTGATTTCTCCATCTTGTGTGTAGATTTGAGGTGGTTGTGATCTCCATTGTGCTGCAGCCTCCGATCCAAGGAAGGGGGAGGATAGCTGTTCCCAGCCCGGAAATGGACCAGAGGATTAACTCCTTAAAAGAAGCAAATTATCCCTTTCTCTGGCCAAATGAAAGCTTTCCCATCAAAAGCAAGCTGTCATATCATACAATATGAGAGAGAAGAGAGTTCAGCTTAATAAAAAATCATTTTTAATGATAGCACAGCCTTTGGCTGCACCAGAACTCTCTGCGAAAGTTGATTTATTTTCTGCTGAAAGTAGAGAAATTGTATTTTCCCTCCTTTCCCATTCCCCCGCCTTTGCTGCCCTAATCACAGTGATAATGCAGATGCTTTGCATGTATCCAGCATGCTGTTTGTAAGGATTCAAAGCCCTTAATAAATTAGATTACTAGCAGCTCGTGGCAGCTCCGTGGCACAGCTTAGTGGCACGTAACCACCTCCTGTACGGCTAAGCTGTATCCCTGCTCGGCATCGGGAAGGGAAGGGAAGGGAAGGGAAGGAGGATTGCTGCCTGCTGCCTCCATGTGCAGGCAGGCAGCACAGCAGCTCGGGCAGGAGTGTGGTCTTGCATCCACAGCTAACGGGAGGTTTAGTGAGGACCAAAGCTTGGTCAGTTCAATTCCCAACTTCTTCTGTCCAGCAAGAGAAATGAGTGAGGCTAGGTCCAAAAGCGGTGACTCAGGACGGGAGGGGATGCCTGGCACCAACCAACCCAAGGGCAAACAGCAAGGCCTGGCAGATGCGATCCACAGGAGGAGAACGAACATCTTCCATCTTGGGTTTATAACTGAAATGAGTAGCTGGGGTTAAAATAGAGAAAGTGTGGTTGAGCTGAGGTTGCTTAGGAAAGTTTAAACCCAAGTTCTCTTGCTCTCAGTGCGGTTTAAACCAAGGTGAGTAGCAAGGCTTCAGAAGCTTACATGGGGAATGCTCTCCAGCTTGGTGTTTCTTTGCAAGGGAGAGAAGATACCAGTCCCACTCATGGCACACCAAGGAGACACACAGGTGAGTGCTGTGAAACCACTGCACATCAAAGGTCCTCAGGGCACCTTGCGACTTCACACTGAACAGCCTAGCAACCCCTCCAGCATCGCACAAAAATGAGAGCCAGTCTCCAGGAGAGCCCCCTCTCAGTCCCCATCTTTTCTCCTTGGCCCTGCTTTCTGCCTGCCCTTCCTCACCCTGCTGGTCTCCCAGTGCTGGGAAGAGATGCCCCATAGCTGCTCTACCTGTGACCCTCCAAACTCTGTAAAATCTCACTTAAAACCAAGCCAGTATTTTGTCCTCCATCCCTTTATTTGCCTCTCCTTCAGTTATTCCAATGGCATACCATAAATTATAACCATACTATATGAATCATTACATATTTGCTGTAGGTTTGAGAGGAAGACGCCTTTGTAGCCGCCTGGTCTGGACATGCCCACTGCTGCCCTGCCTAGGTGTCAGTGCTCCAGAGAGGCACTGGGGATGCAGGAATTCCAGGAATCATCGCAAACTGCTCCCAGCTCTCATGCATGTACCCGAACGCTGACACGGGAGATGGATGTGGGGCCAGGTTCTGCTCCCCACACCATGCCGGTCCAGAGGGACCGAAGGGCAGGCAAGCTGGGACATGCCGTGGGCAGGTGCAGGATGCGACTTTTTCTGCTCTTGGCTGTAATAATCGTATGCTCAAAGCAGATTAATTCTCTTTCCCCATCCTTAACAAAAGACGCCTTTCCCTGGCCTCGCCTGCCCGTCCCTGCCTTCCCACCGCACATGCACTTAGCCTATTAGGATCTCCGCTGATTGCTTTCTTTCATTCCTCCCGTACCTTTCACTTCAGAAAATGGACTGGTAATACTTCTTTTATCAAAGAATTATGGGATTTAGGACCTAGATCTTACAAAGAGACTTTTGATAGCTGCTGGTAATCAAATCCCAATCGGCAGACACTTCTCTGCACCCTGTTACCAGAGAGGAATAAAGGAAAGGGATTATTGATGTTGTGTTTACTGAGCCTCCAGGAGATAGGATCGCTGGGCTATTTCATATTAGAAAAGGAAAGGAAAATAAAACAAGAAAGAAAAAAAATGCAGACAAGGGAGGACAATATAGATATAGATAAAAAGAAAAGGAACAGGCTCTTATCATTTTCTTATTGGTTAAGGAGATTCCAAAGCCATTATAGAGGATTAGCAAAAAGGTTAATCTGCTTTAGCCGTTCACTTGTCAAAAGTGAATTTATAGGGTTTGAAAATCCTTCCTATGGTGAAACCAGAAAAAATCCCCTTCTCCCTCCCCTGCCCCTCCCTTCTGCAGGCAGCACAAGGGGATGGGAACAGGAGCTTTGGAGACCCTAAAACATGGGAGCACCCTCACCTGCCTTGCCCCTGCCTGGGCGCTGGCACCCATGGGAGTTCTGATTTGGGAGTGTGTCTCCCCGCTCCCTCATCACCTGTGTGGCGTGGCTTGGTGCTCAAGGAACGGAGGAGCAGGTCTGAGGGACGTGACTGTCCTCCTGCGCTGCTCTGCCTTACCTGGGGTTTGGGGTAAATCCTGGGCTCTTTCACTGGTTGGTGTCGGCAGCCATCAGGGCAAACCTGGCCCCCTGGCTGGATTTGGGCTTCCAGTCTGATTTCTGAAGTGGAACAGAGATGGATACTGCTGGCAAACGTTGCCAAAAACTGCAGGCTGGGGCCTCTCTGTCCCCAAACACAGCGCTCACCCAGGGAGCCACATCTCAGCATCCTCCCAGTCACCCACCGCAGATGCTGGCCCATTCCAGCTGCGTTTTCCTGCTGCTGACTCACGCAAGTGACCGATGCCCATTGCTCGCCCCAGTGCTGCTGTGAGAAACAACCCAGGGAAAAAACAGTCCTTCAAGGTCAGAATCAGCAAGGAGCACTTTCTCGATAGGTGCTGGGTGAAGTTCAGTGGGATGCGTTAGTCAGGAGTTATAATTACGTTTAATAAAGACACAGAAACCACAGAATCATAGAACGGTTTGGGTTGGAAAGGACCCTTAAAGGTCATCTTAAATTTGTGCCTGTTAAGATGGTTCAATCCTGTGCCAACTGACTAAAAGAACCCAAATAAAATAGTTTGGATTTTATGATAATTAACATCAAGTGTTATAATAAATCTGTGTCTCTCTCCAAAGGCCATTCCATCCCACTGGAAGAATTGGAGTCCTTCCGCTGACTATGAGTGTTAATAGTGATGCTGGCTAATAGAGATACTGGCTAATAGTGATGCTGGCTAACACACATGATGCCTATGGCATAGCAAAAGGACCTGGAGAAAAAGGAGAAAAAGCCTTACGAGGAGCGGCTGAGGGAGCTGGGGTTGTTCAGCCTGGAGAAGAGGAGGCTGAGGGGAGACCTGATCGCCCTCTACAACTACCTGAAAGGAGGGTGTAGCGAGGTGGGGGTCGGTCTCTTCTCCCAAGTAACTAGCGACAGGACGAGAGGAAACAGTCTCAAGTTGCGCCAGGGGAGGTTCAGGCTCGACATTAGAAAGAACTTCTTCACTGTTAGAGTTGTTA